AAATAATGTTATTGTACATCAAGCAATTAAGTCAATCAATAATACTTTATTCCTTAATTTCCAAGTAATTTTCTAACTATTTCCAGGAAATTTCTAAGAAAAGACCAAATAATCTGGTGCTAATTATAAATAAAATAGTATTCTCCCAATTAATTCCCTGAAATGACAATTAATTGCTGTTATGATGTAGAAAGTCTGACATGAAAAAGTGTAAAAGTTGTTTACAATCAAGCATACAATTTAAAATACATGCACGAGTAAAGTTTCCAATAATAAATAAACTATGAATGAATATTTATTTATTCGATATGTCCTGTCAGTGGTGGACAAGCGTCATTAGGATTCATCCTCTGAGGATGACACACAGTGTAACAAGTTTCCTCCCTTGGTTAAATAATGCAGCTGTCCATGTTATAAGCTGACTGGGTACCTACTTTTGCACTTGAAAGTAACATTTTTACTGTTGCAGGACATTATGCACAAGCTAACCATGGCTCTGCAGCTTCATTTAAGTCCTGGGGAAAAGAAAACATCTTCCAGAGGCTGTGTTACTGCCGTTAACGCAAACCATATGCGCTGTGTGTCATAGATCAACAGAGCGTTCGCCAAATAATTCCAGTAAGAGTTTATCCTCCCTGTCTGATTTTGACTCTTGACTACAACAGTTTCTAGTATATAAAATAGATATATATGAATAATATAACTTCATAAATGCTGCCAATTTGCACTGATAAGATCAGTCAGTCAGATTGAAGGATGGTGGAAATGTAATCTTTTTCTCCAATCAGCACATCCACCCAAAGATTTCCCTTGAAGACACACCTCAATGGTTTTGGCTTTGAGCACCGGCTCATGTTTGTCTTCATTGCCCAATAGACATGTTGCAGCTGTTGCATATTTCAATAGTGGCTTTTCTCTAAGTCAACAACTGATAGCTTTCAACCTTAAAACCATAAACGCTGCCAATTCACGCTCTCAGACTGAATCAGAGTGAGGGATGGTGGGAATGTGTTTTTTTCTCCAATTAAGATGCACCTTATAACTCAGAACATGCTGACATTTAATGACACAAAGCGAGCTTGACCTGGAGCAGATGTGAAAACAAGTACGAACCAGAATATCCCCAGAGGCAGAGTGAGAGCGCCAAACTCTTAATGCGGAGAGTGACAAAGAAAGTGAAATCAACACCAGAACCATTTTCTTTTCATTTTTCTTTCTTTTTGAGATTATAAATGAACATTTGACTGTTTAGTTTTAATGAAATACATTCCTGAAGACCTTCAGAACTTACGACTTTTGCTGCGTCATCTCATGTCATTGTGTTGAGTAAAGTTGCTATGAATGTTTTCAATTATTAATGTCATAATGAAACAAATAAATCTAATACTAATGTTCTAATTCAAAGTTTTCACACACGTTTAATAAACAAATCTATCCACCTTAATTCTTCAAGCCAGGAGCTGACAAAGAGCTGATAATACAATCAGATCCCAAATTTACCTCGATTTCTGACTTATCCAGACTTTTGAAAAAGCGGAAATGGTGGTGCACCCCGGGATGGGAGTTTAGTTGCTCCATTGCCAAATCTACTCCCCTCTTGTAGTTGTCAGACAGGTCATTATAAGGATCGTGGGCCTCGGCAGAGTACAGCGCAGCTCCAGCACAAATCAGCAACAGCAACCCAGCAGCCATCTTTCTCTGTGTGTGTGTGTATGAGAAGAGCAGCAGCGAACTCCCTCCTCTTCCTGAGAGATCGATGCTCACGTCCAAAACAAGTCCTATTATGGCTACAGAAGTACCAAGTGAAACTAAACACACTGACAGGCCCGTTGCTCCAAATGTTTACTTGTTATGCCCCGGTTCCCGTAATACCCCAGGGGACACAGAATAAATCTTGTCTTAACAAAACACACAATCAAAGCTGCTTGCCAAAGGTAGAATTACTCATATCCTTAGATGTGACAACAATGGAAACTTGGATTAGTAATCCAACTGTTGGAAACAGGCTCAACATGCACGGAAAAGCCTTTGGTCGCAAGACAAATATAAATGTCACCAATAATAAGTGGGTGAATGAACTCTCTTGTGCATTAACAGGAAAGCAGCTCATTTATAGGAAACTGAGTTTTTCTTCGAATTCAGCCGATGGGTTGGTTTAATGAATCAGTTACTGAAATTAAACTGACAGTGCAATGAGAACTCATCACTATTTCTGAGTCACACACACAGACAGTTTTTGTTACTGCTGAACCAAACAATCTGTTCCTTAACATCTTAACATCTGATCCTTATGAGCCAGTGGCGTTGGTGGAAGAAGACACTTCTACTTAAGTAAAAGTGTCAATACTGAAGTGTGAAAATACAATAACCTTAATACATTCTTTTACTTGTTGCAGCGTGTCGAGGTGGAGCTTGTTTTGCCAGTTCAGTAATTTAAACCTGTGGTTCCCAAACTAGGAATCGGGCCTCTCTAAGGGGTCAAAGGATAAATCTGAGGTGCTATTAAATGTTTAACAGGAGATGAAAGAAGAAGCAAACTTCTGCTGTAGAAATTTATATTAATTTTTGGGACTTATTTTGTGAAATATTCAATATTTTAACCGTTATTTTAACTGTCTGCAAACAACTAATGCAGTTACAATAAACTTTTAACTCCTCTTTAAAAAGTAGGAATAAGATGTGACCTACGTCCTGACCTCTGACCTCGTCCCTCGTTTTTGACCCACCTTTAGATCATTCAAGCTGTATGAAGAAACATTACTTTTGCTGTTGTTGGAAGAGGGGAAAGATGAGGTCATTGCCTTAAAAAATTCAGGAGGAAGTCCAGATGGACCATGGAGTGCTACTGCAAATGCCAATAGGGTTTTGCTTGCTTTCAAATACTCACTTCAGGCAAATTACATCAAAGTACCCAATTCATTCAACTCTCGATCGTTCACAAAATTAAACTTTATTATTATTTTGTGTGATCATGTCAACAGTCTAACAGATTGGCACGGAAGTAAACAACAAATTACCGAAGATGTGTTACACAAATCTCACTCAAATGTAATAAAAATGGCCACACTACGAAAAACAATATTAAAGACACTAATGAGCTTAGGTTCACACATAAACAAGAATGTAAGTAACTGCTTCCGGTTACAACGAGTCAATTCAAAAAGAAAGTGTTCACTGAGACCCCATTGATGCCAGCAGAGTTGGAGCTCCACTGCTGTAACCCATTCTGTCGCAGTGATTTATTCTTTCCATGTTCATCTCCTGCCATTCAGATGAAAAATGGGAGAAACATGTCAGAAACTCTTGCAGTGTGGTTTTGGTATTCATAATAGGAGAGACTGAAATCACATGAGACACAAGAAGAGATTGTAAGTAAAGCAAAAGAGGAACAGACTAACCTCTGTAAGGGCCGGTCTGTGGATACAGTGAATGTATGGTTTGGGCAGTTGTTCAATTTCTCCTCCAAACATTTTGTAACAGACTGCACAGTCAACCAGCGGCTGCATGAATGCACAAAAACAAAGCAGCAAGTTAGGACAGGGAGTCGCTCTCGCAGTCTCCATTTTTGAATTCAGTAACACAGCTCGAAAATCAGACACAACTTACTCTGTCTGTTCTGAACTTGCACGCTGTGGAATCAACTGTTCCTTTTGGGCATTTGGTGGCTTTAAGGAGGAAGTGGTGGTAAATGTAGCTCACATCAAAGCCAGACTGAGGAGAAAGAGAGGGAGGGTTAGATCTGGGCAACTCACAAAAATTCCCCATGAGGGTCTTTTTCTGATAAAATCCTCTCATTCTTTGATGATTAGAGCTTCTTCTGGGATTATTATTATTGCTAACCGTTAATCACAGGAAACCTCCCAAGTGATGAGCCTACAGCAGATTGTAAACAATGATTCTGTAAAAACAGAAACAGACATACCTCGATGTCTGACTTTTTGACACTTCTGAAGAAGAGAAAATGGTGCTGGATTCCAGCATGAGAGTTGAGCTTCTCCAGAGCCAGATCCACTCCTTTCTTGTAGGTTTCAGGAAGTCTATTGTAAGCCTCCTGTGCATTAGAGGAAAAAAACAAAGCTCCGACACTGAGCAGCAGCAGCAACAAAGCAGCCATCTTCACTCCAGTGTCTGTAACAATGGGGGTTGTGTGACAGTGCAATGAAACACCCACTCTGTGCTGTTTTTCAGGGCAGAACATCCAGCCCTTTTTTTACTGGGAGGAAACCATTTGGAGACAGAGAGTTACTTCTTTTGGTATTGCCTCAGTGTTGATCCTCCAGTGTCCACCTTCTACATCTTTTTTCTTCCTTCTACAAGTTTTTAATTCTTTGCAGCTTAGATGGAAGCCAGACTTATATGTGTGCTCTTTTGACCTCAGTGCTGCATTTGATAAAGGGAATTACAAAATGTTGTTGGATAGACTGGAAAATCAGGTGGGACTAAGGAGACCATCCCTAAACTACTTTAATTTATTTATAGAATATACATTTTTTTTGTCTCTACTGGAGAGTTCATCACTACACAATACAAGACTTTGTATGGGGCTCCACAGGATTCAATTCTTGGTCACATTTTATTCCGTCTCTACATGCTTCAAAATTCAATTATCATGTCAACATCTACATTTTCCTACACTTTATGATTAAATACCCGCAAAACTATGGACATTCCCTAGTCTCAGCTGTATTTTAGATTAGCAAATTTTAGCATGCTAACATGCTAAATTAGGACGTTAACCTTACACCTGCTAAACGTTAGAAAATTAGCATTGCCATTGTTAGCATATTGACGTTAGCATTTAGCTCAAAGCACCACTGTACAGCCTCACAGAGCAACTAGCATGTTCACGTTATTTATTTTTTTTACAGCCCTATAAAGTTTGTTTAAAGCACTTAAAAACTGCCTTGAGTATGAAACACGCTATATAAGTAATGCTTGCTGCCTTGCCATCTATCAAGTTATTTTACTTTGAGAACATGACAATAGAACAACAGCCAGGATAAATAGAAAATAACTTTTATTTGTCATCAATATTTGAACCATTATTGTACAAGGGAACATCAGCAATAGCCTCTCAGACTTTGTATTGCTTCTGAAATGGATCAACATATCATATCAGCATTTCACGACTTTGACAAATACTTTGACGCACACAGAATACCATCACTCCCATCCACAGGCACAATAAGCAGACATAAAACTTGACATTGTACTCCACTGTCTGACTCTCATAAATATCCCCTTCATTGTCATGGCCATGATGCAGCCAAATGTGTGTGTACATTAGAAAAAAATAGGTTCTGTGACATACTGTGACAAATCTTCAAAAAACAGCAACAATGCCTCATATTGCAACAGATAAATAAGGGAGAGATGTTCTTTTCGTGATTTATGAGCGTCTCAAAAGTGCAAACTATTACGACGTGTGTTGCCCTTACAAACACAACAGACACTTGTAGCTGATCACTTCATGGTCCCACAGGCACTTGATTTTGTGCAACTTTGTGACACCGAACAGGCACAAGATCACAGCAACAGTCAGGCTGAGATGGGGCAGTTCAGAGGGGAAGACAGTGTCTGAGATGCGAACTTGAGAGTAACAGAGGAACAAAAATCTAATTTGACAGAGTCAAAGCTTTTACCAATCCATGTCACACTGATACAACATGACATAAAAAATTACATATACATATATATATATATATATATATATTTTAAAAGCCTTCATTCTCAGTAATGCATGAATATTGAGATTGTCTACACAGCTCATGTGGAAATTTGGTCGACCAAGTTCACGAGTGTGAATGAAACGTTTAAACAGATAGCTGATGACCAAAAAAAAAAAAGTTTTCTTAAATTACTAAGCAAAACTGTGATAAACCAAGGAATGTTATGCTATGAAAAATGTGTTAATTAGGTTGAAACTTCTTCACAAACAATACAGTTAGGAGATTTGAGATGACTGAACTGCAGCTTATTGTTCTGACCATAAAACTATTTACATTAGACATGATTTGGCACAAAGAAACCAATAAATTACAGCGATTCCCAATAAACCAACCACAACAAGTGAGACCTCAAAACAAACTCTACATCAGTACATTAGTGCCCTAAGCATGTGCGTGGAGACATTTAGAGTATATTTAATATGCCACCGTGTTGTCTTTCTTCTACAAAAATGTGTCATGATTAGAAACATGACATAATGGCATTAGTGTAATGAGAAATTGCTTTTCATATACTGTTTTTTTTTTTTTTTTTTTTTTTTGGGGGTACATCTTCATCACAGTCCTACAAGATCTCCCTCTGCTGGTGATCTTAATTCACTACAAGCACAGAAGTTGACATAAAAGCCTAACTATTGTCTAAGCTGCTGCATTGGAGTACAAATAAATGAATGGTTAAAGAAGGAAAAGGCTAAAAATCAATCAAAGACAGATATTTAAGAAGCAAACTAAAGCAACACTGAGATTTAAGGGATTAAAGAGGACGCTAAGGAGATAAAATGATTTCATAAAATACAGTCATTGTTCAGATTTGGTGTCTTAAAAGTGCTACTAGCTTTAGGAGGCGGGTAAAGTGATCAGCTGTCTACATTAAGACAGAATGAGGAAAGAAAAAACACCTCTCATACCTTTTAATTTCCTTCATAAGGCGCTTGGTGAGCTTAAAACATGGAAAAAGCGACAAACCAGAATAGCAAAAACTATACGCATGACAATATAAAGGAATGTATCCCATATATCCTCCACATATTCAATGTGAATCAGAGCAACCTTTCAGGGCTAAAAATGAATCAGTGTCGCAAATCTATCTACTGTTATCGCATTTAATTTTGAGTTTGAGATCACATCACATGATTTGGAATCTCTAGTCCCCTGAAATATATGTTTAAAAAGTATATTATGGGTGTACACACACTAACAACAGTTTGAGCTCCACAGTAGGATTTCATTGTTTGTTCCACAAAGTGCTGCTAACCATCAGAAAAGCCTCCTACAATATGATAAAAAGCTACTTAAATAGTGAAAAGTTTGACCCAAGTAACAAACAACCACAGCTCTGACGTACTGAACTGTTCATGTCTGGATGATGAAGAAAGGCCGGTGGTGCACAGTGATGTGGCATCAAATTTCTGTGAGTGTTTCAAGCTGGATGGACTCTATCGCTGCATCCCAGATGTCAGTGGTTGTGAGTGACAGATTTTGGTGTCCACTAAGAGGACTGAAGTGGTAATGTGAGGGCTTGTCGTGGGTTACACAGGCATGTGCATCTCTGAATACTCATCGTGACACTCGCGCTCGTCAAACTTTGGCTCTGCGTCGTCCGCATCCAACTGGAAGAGGCAGAGAGAAATCACAGTTAAAAACAGATAAAAAAAACATTGTATAAAGTGTATTGTACATAAATGTATTCACGACTTCTCCACTTTTGCATCAGTGTCAGTAAACCTAAAAGTAGTACTGTTACAGGGATTGGTTTTTGGAAAGAATTTTTGAATGAATTTCTTAAATTTTTTTGGTGATATAGGATTTAAAAAGATAATGGCTTTGATGATACTGTTCTCTTGTCTAACCACACTACTGCTGCTGGGGTAGTGGCGCGGCTGTATAAAGTAGCATATTGCGCCCCCTTGTGGTTAACGTACACATGCAATCTCTCTGACGGTGAAGATGCGGCTCAGCAGGAACATCTTGACAGGAATGGTGAGTAAGAGGACGAAGGGGAAAGCCAGAGACGCCTGTGTCGACATGACAGCCCACAGAACCGCCAGACACACCAGCTGGATGCAGGTGAACAGATGCATCCGCAGCGTACGGACCTGCAGGAAACAGAGATCCTTTATTAAAAATAACAACACCAGCATGTAAGTGAGATATGAGAAATAAGTGATGCAAGGATGTAGCTCAATCATAATGAAAAAAATGATTAACCCTTTAATTACCCCTTTAAGTTATTTATCAAGCAAAAATGTCCAACATTCACACGTTCCAGGTTTTCTCGAATCTCTGGACTTGCTCTTTACTTGTATTTATTTTTATATACAGTATATAAATTCCTTGTGCGTCTCACCTTGCGTACGTATGTGTGGTCAGGGTGATACTTTGGTGGCATAAGCAGCAGCATCATGCGCTCCGTCAGCTGGATGCCATTGAGAGACATCACACCCATGTAGAGGAAGATACCAAACAGCACAGCCAGGGGGATCTGACGCAACAGGTCACCTATTACAATGGACAGGCCTGGAGGGAGGAGGGCACAGGGTTAACAACAAAATGAACATAGGATGCAGGAAAATGCAGTTTCACAGGAAGTTCACAGGCGATAAAGAAAAGAGCAGTAATGTTTTCAGTGTCTGCCACTCACCAACCATGATGGCGACCAGGAGCCCAGTGACCCTCTGCTCCTTCACCTCCTGGATGCGAGGCTTGTCTCCGGGGGCGACGGCCTTGCTCATGACAGTGAGGGCGTTGACGTGGGTCACTGAGCGGACAGTCGCCGCGGCCATCCACGGCAGGCCGAACAGAGCCGAGCTGCCACCCAGCACCACGATCAGCAGCAGGTCCAGATGGAAACCAGAGCCCTTCACCAGCATCCGCTCCTTCTTACTCACTATCAGGCTGCAGGAAGTCACACGTACGTAAACAACAGGGTTTGGGCAAGTCAGCCAGAGGTGAGTTTTCTTTGATAACTAGATTTTCTTTTCTTATTTTATTTAGACTATACAGAGTATGTGAGCTCTTTTATATTAAAGCCCTCTTTAACACCCTGTTTTCCATCAATGTTGTGCACAATGCAAATCAGAAATACAAAATACTGCAGTGCAGAGTGATACAGACAAAAACAAATAACACAATATTTTTGACTCAATACTGCAACGGTAATAATTTAATGATATTGTATTGATTACAGCCAATCACACAGAGTCATTCGAAGTTGTGAATTTTATAGCAATTTATAATCAAAAAATAATCTTTTTCTAGTGTAATAACCGTTTTAAAAAGTTAATTAGTCAAAATACAACAACAATTCTCTATAAAACTATTGTAAAACATCCTGGAATGAAACCTGTTTACTGAATACACTTGTGGTAATATTAGGTTTGAGGTAAATCAGAGAACGAGTCAGGTTTGGTGAACTCATGAATCAACACAAACCACATTGTGAATTTTAGTTTGTGTCTCAACGCCTTTTAAGATGCCACGACAACACACATCTCAATGTGTTGTCCTGATGATACTCTGCAGGGTTACTCACGTGGTGATCTGTGTCTCCATGAAGATGAGGATGAAAACCAGCAGAGCGGGCAAACAGCAGCCAAACATCATCCAGATGGGGAAATTACCGTCCGAACCCAGAGGACTGATGATCCAGCCGCGCTTGTCGGGACTCGTCACAGAGAAACCTCTGGGAACACTCAGTTTCTAGACGGAGGACGAAGACAGGACTGAGTATGACGGGATAATGATTGTCTGTATTGTGAGTCTTACAGCAAACCCGAAGTCAAAGGTCGAGTATTTTACATAAAGATTCAGTCTTTTGAGTCTTACTTGTGTGTATGTGTCATCTATGCTGTAATCCATGAGGACCATGATGAGGATGGCAATTGGCACCCCAAAATCTCCAATCACCCTGCGAAACTAAACGAAAAAACAAAAGACAAGAAAAATTTTAAGATAAAAAAATAAAAAACCTTAACCTTGAAAGCAGTAACTGACAATCATTAAACTCAAACTTAACTTTAAAGCCAGTTTTTAAAGGAACCGTTTAACATTTCGGGAAATGAATATGAGGTATGAAACAGAAGGAAACAGCTATCTGACCGAACAGCACCTCTAAAAAAAATAAATAAATTAACATGTTTTACACTGTTTTTGTATCTCCCAAAATGTTGAACTAGTCATTTAAAGTTGTTAAGTAGTTAGTAGTTAAACTAGTTAACTCAACACAAAACGCATAAAACAGCTACTAAACAGACTTTGCAGTGCGACTGTTTCGTCGGCTTGAGGATTTTAGATCATATGTTGTAATCGGTAATATGTATCCTTCATGTATGATGGCGGGAGGATAAAATATAAAATATAGAGGTTAATTTTGCGGGGCTGATGTTTTAAAGTGATTTTAGCTCCTTACCCTTCCAGGGAAGAACGCACTGTTCTTGAACTTGCGCAGGTAGAAAGCGATGAAAAACGTTCCGGCCATGAGGACCAGAGAGAGCAGCGCGGTGTTGGGCTGGCCTTGGACCAGAGTTGCATGAGTGTCGTTGCTGTGCGTCCCGTTGATGTTTTCCCCTACTGTGCTGTTGTCAAGGGAGCAGCTTTTCAGTGGGTGCTCCTTGAAAATCTGCCCGAGAACACAGAAGGTTCAAATGAATACACAATATTTTACTAGTGAATACACACACACATGTTTATGCCCATATAGAAACCTGCTGTGATTACTTTTTATGATTAGTTGATCATGATCATGATTATTATGCATCACATTTTTTAAAGTTGCACAACCACACTTTCTGGAAAATGAAATTAGCCCGTTGTCAAGCAGCCATCAAGCCTGTGCCATACAACTCTAAAAATAGCACCATAAGCCTGGATAATAGTTTAACTCTCAATCCATTTAATTTTCAAGGCCAGTCAAACACAGAAGATTTCAGGTGCACTTGTTAGAAAAACATACTCATTTCAACCCCGACTTTTGAATACTGTCCAAAGATTAGTCTGTTCAGTTTAGCGTCAGGGATGTAATCCCCCAGCGTGCCAACAAAAAGTTTTTGTAATCAGGAGTTGTTATTTCAGGTCTCTGGTGTACCCTGCCAAGCTTGATGAAGGTCTCGCAGATGAAGATGAGGGAGATGAGGAAGGAGAAGATCTCCTGGGTGAAGCGGGAGACGAAGCGGACTAGAAAGCTGCCTTCGAAGGCCACGGTGACGATCACGATGATGATGAGCCAAAACCCGATCCAGACGCGACCAGTTAGATACTCTATTTCGTTCGCTTTGCAGAACTGTGAAAACACAGGAGCATTAAACGTTACTTACGAGCTTTTAGAGGAGGACTTTCGCAGGTAGTTCTGCTGGATATGAACCTACAGCCAGCAGATGCCACACAAACAGCAAGACTCTCAACTAGATTTTTCAACTGTAGGCTGTTGTTATCATGTGGAGACACTCGTTGATTTACTGTTCATCAACTTACACTGTAAAAGGCTTCCTCAAAAACTAGCAGGGGTCCGGAGAAGCCCACAACCAGCAGAGGCTGAGCTCCGAGCAAGCAGAAGATCACGCCCTGCACCGCTGTCGACACGATCAGCTCAGAGACACCAATCAGGCCGTCCGTCTTCTCACCTAGCAACAGACACACACACACACACACACACACACACAACTCATCAACACCACAGTGAACACAAACAGGCTTTAGAGCTTCCTCAATAGCCTGTTAATTGAACCATCATTACAAAAACATGAAGGGATTTGACACACGAGACTAAGTTTTACACAGTGGTTCAACTCTCTAGTTTCACACGTGCGACTCACCCAGCAGGCCTCCGAATGTAATGGCCGGAGACAGGGCAGCGAAGTAGATGAAGATAACAGCGGCCATGCACTGACTGTTCAGGGCGTCCTTGAAGTCGCTGATGTACTTCGGGTAACGCCGCCGCACGTCTCGTATCAGTCCTCCAAAGGGGCGTCCTGTGCGCTGTAAAGGGTCGTCTGACTTTTTGGAAGGTGTGAGGAGGGCCTCTGGGTGACAGGGAAGAGCAGATTATTAAATGAGTCATGTAACAAAAAAGTTGAAATTTCCTTTTGATAAAGCCACAAGGAGACACTTACCTTTTTCCTCAAGGCTTTTGGGTTCTTTGGCCATCAGTTTGACGCCCTGCTCCTCCCTCTTGCGCAGCATCTCCCTCTGGAAGCGAGCGACAGAGCGCAGCAGCTCATCACCTCCCATCTCTGACGGCGGCAGCACGATGCTGCAGTCCAGGAAGCTGTTGATGGCGTTCAGCAGGTCCTGCCTGTCGTCCGCCAGGTAGGCTGCCTCGTGGAATTGCTGGAAGGAAATTCAGCCACAAATATAAGCAAAGTGTGGGAATCTACTCTACATTTATCTTATTCCTTTTTGTGCTTTAGATGTAATCAATAAAATTAATATGTTACTGTCATGATGTGATTTGGGTTTTGTACTCATATAATACATTTTGAAAACAAAAAACGAAAAAATCTTTCGCCACCTTGTCAGACATCAGCGTGGAGATGGAGCGTCCTATCTGGTGGTAGTCCATGCTGGTGGTGGGGGGTCCCAGCAGAACAAAGAGGAACCTGACGGGCACGGGGACCTCTAGGACAGACTCCAGCTCCACCGCCTCCTGCAGCCGCACAAACGCCATGGTGGGCTGCTCCAGGAAGTCCACGCTGCCTAGAAGACAGCGGCACATGATAGTCAGTGAAAGATGAAGGAACACAAGTGATTCAGGTGTGATTCAAGTAGTAGCTTGTCTTCAAAATAGGTCTTTTATGGCTTTTAAGGCATTAGCAACTTACCCACAAGGACAACTGTGGCCTCTGCATTTTCAGGAATCTTCTCCAGCAGCTTCAGCTCATGTTTGGACTTGGACCGATGCATACCGGGCACCAAGTTCGGCTCCTTCTGCTGAAAACGGGCACAAACACAGAAAGTGAAATCAGGATGAAGAATACATGTATTTGTGATTTTTGAAAGAAAACACTCGAGCACTAGACTGACCTGTACTTCGTTCTTCTCCACGTCGATGCGCGTTTCCGTTTCTCCCACTGCGTGGACGGTGCCCATGAGCGGGTCGGTGACAGACGGCTCTGGCTGATGGGTGTGGTTGCCACTGTGGTGGTGTGTCATCAGACTGCCGAGGCTGGCAGCGGAGATGTTCCTGGGGAAGGGGCTACTGTGCTCTTTCTCATCGCTCGGGTGACTAGGGGAGGTAGGGAGAGGCAAAGAGAGGGTGAGCAGGAGGAAGAGAGGAAGTGACCAGGCATGAAGCCACCTAAGTAGCAGGAAGTGCGCAGCAGCGAGAGAGTAGTAGAGATAGTTTAACAGCTGGTTATCCTCGTACTCGAGAAGCAAACATTTAATTGGCAATAATCAATAGTTTGAACTAGTATTAGTTTTGAAAGTCAGAGTGTGGCCCTGCGTCAACATGCACACTGTTGTTCTAAAAAGGGGCAGTGCTCAGGCATCATGTTAGCCCAGGGGATAAGACGCAAACCACATGAACCACAGCATCCCTGGTTCGAATTCCCCCTGGGCAAAACAAATGAACAATTATCTGAAAAAGTACGATTTTTACTCCCCACAGCACAAACTGACCTTTTAAAATGAGTAATTGTGACTTGTGACCTCTCATCACTCTCAGTTTTGGAACAAACGCTTCTTCCTACTTTAAATTCCTACAAACCCACAGTTACAACTGTTCACTGGCGAAGACATGACCATGACTTTTGTTCACCCAAAAGTCCAGAAAACCCCAAATATACAGATTTCAATATTTGACAAACAAAGCAAACAAATCTTCCCTTTGACAGACGGATGTCTGAGAACATATGGCAATTTTTCACAATTTTTGCTTGAAGCATGACGAAAATGATTGATCGATTAGCAATAGCAATAAATAGGAGCAAATATTTTTCTGTCGACCGACCAATCAATCAATCGACTGATCGTCTCAGCTCTAGACTGATTCCGCAGGTCACCTGTGTTTGAGCAGCAGAGCCCTCAGGACATTGGCTCTGTCCTCAGCTTTGATCTGGTCAGAGATGATCATCTGCTCCACCACCTGGTGGGCGATGCCAGGCAGGGTCTTCTGGTCCAGGTCCAGCAGCACCGCACCTGCGAACAGACACACACTGAGCTCAGGACTCTGTGAGCTGGATCACTGAGGTTTTGGCTTTAAAAATGATGTGTGCACACTTTAACTCGGCCTGTCTTTCTTACCGTGCGAGATGGTCTTTCTGAGCTCAAGCAAACTGCGGAAAGACAGAGAAGCCACGTGAGGTTTCCCCCAGCGGTCCGTCTCCTCCTCCACATCTTCCTCAAACTTGATCCAACGAGCCGTTTCCTTCCACTGCATCTCCTGGTTCTTGTCCATGGTCAGCTCGTTCAGCTCGACAAACACCTGGAGACGTCGCACAAGAAGACACACACAGGTGGAGGTGAGATATGGCAGAGAGCACCCACACTGTTCGAACCAAACATGCACGTTCAGCATCAGCCAAATATTCAAAGCGATTTGCATTTCGCTGGTTGAAAACAATCAAACTTGGTTTAGCAGCAGTAGCTTCAGTGGAGCATTTTGCAACATCAGAAAACAGACTCCATGCTTACCGGGATCCCAGCTGATTTATTCAAATTCACTCAACACAAAAGAGAGATGTTCTCCATGTTATTACTTAGATGTTCAACTTAGATAAAAACACATAAAAACAGGTGATGGCATCTTAAAAACCTAATACTAAAAACAGAGAAGAGAGACAATATTCTGCTGTGCACTTCTCAGCTCTCTCAGCATCAAGTATCTGTTAACAGGTTATTAATTGAACACCATGCAGGTCAGTCAAGTCCTGTGTGGAAAAAAAAAAAAAAAAAAACAGGCTGGAAAATCCCCTATTTTGCCATCATGTGCCATTATACACCTGCTGCATGCCTGTGAAATCACGCTCACACGAGTCAAACCTGACTCTGGCCGGTCACCCAGCCTCACCTTCTGGTACCGAGCCATTTGACCGGAGTCCATGTCCAGCATGATGCCTTCTGGCCGCGAGACAGAGCGGTACAGAACCACGGGTAACGACTGGAGGAGCGAGACGGTGCAGGAGAGGACTCAAACACTGATACAATCGACTGCGGCACAAAGGATGGGACCCTCACTTTTACACACATGCCCATAGGTAACTCTTCCTCATCACACACACCTGACAGGGACCTGTTGTTTACCTGGGCTGCTGGGGGCTCAAAGCGCTGTGTGTGTGTGTGTGTGTGTGTGTGTGTGTGTGTTAATAAAACATAACTCTGCCTCTCTCAGGAGCTCCCGGTGTCTGGTTACCTAAGCTCCTCTCTCTCCTCTTTTTTCCTTTCCGTGTGTGAAAGGAAAGAACTCTTTCATTCATTTTTAATTGCCTTCTTCCCTCCCTGTCCCATCCACAAAAGAGACAGGGCTGCACTAACTTTGACAGAGGAAAAGAGGGGAGGCATTTCCCAGGATTTATGGTCATATTTAAGGCAATTAAACTGAATGTGAAGCAGAAAATAAAGATTACAAATATGGGACATTTTCCCACCTGGCTTCATCGGACTACAGCTGTATTTAAAAGGCCCAGTCAGTCATTTTTCTGACCATATTAACAGGTTTTATTAAAGATTTTGAAGTTATGATAAATATAAAAGTTTAATTTAGCCTTTTTTTTTCCACAAAACATTCTGAGATAAAGAAATCATATCAGGATCAGGAAATATCAGCAAGTTAGACTTTTTTTCTTCATCAACTGATCAATCAGATACAACCAAGTTCTGCATTAGCTGACATTAAGTGATTCACGTCTTGTCTGAGTGAGTAATGTTCACCTCATGTGGGGTTCGGTCCTGCTTGCGACTGCGAGTGGTCGGCTCTTTGTGGTCTTTGCTAATGTGCACCACTTGTCCCTTGGTGCTCTTTCTGACCAGGTGTCTGCGCACGCCGGGAACATCTTCAAACCGATGACCTGGAGGAGCAAAGAGGAGACGAGAGCAGGGCTGAGAAGTGTTGAAGAATACAGTTCAGAGGAGAAATTACTTTTTGTACACTTCATGGCCATTTCAAAAAAACTGCACAGAGAATTCAGTAAAAATGACATCCAAGTCACACTGAATAAAAGTTCAAATGCTGCAGATAATTTACAGTTTACAGGTTGTTACAGTTTGCTTCTGCAGCCTTCAGCCCTGCGACGCGTTTCACCCTGGGGTCAAATCTCAGCCCATCAAGTCACAGAGGACCAGGCCACTTTGCTTTTGTTTCCGCGGTCCCACAGCAGAGAGTAGGGTTACTCATGCTGGCAGCACACCACACATTGAAAGGGATGTGGAGAGAGACACTGGATTGCAGTGTGAGTAGAAATGGTCCCATCAGGTGTTATAAGTTCAAAGATCAATGGACCTGCTGGCACTCTCATCATTAGAAGTGTAAGAGAAAGAAAGCGAGTAAGAAAAAAAATCCCTTCATGAATACCATTGGTCTTACCTTTATCACCGCTTGTAAATCCTACGTAACAAACAGTGAAGCTTTTGAGAGTCCTCATCAATGTTTTCACTCATTATCTGAAAATCAGGTGGTTCTGGTCGACAAAACAATGAATTTCAGCTGCTATCCCTCTTCATTCTAGCTTAACTTGCACAATCTTCAACTCTTGCTGAGCAGGTCCATTGCCAAGTCGCTCCATGATGTGTTCACTTGTGTGTGAGTGAAGTTTGGGGCAGATCCTGGAGTTAAATGGCGCCGAGTGGCATGTAGCTCTTGAAGGAAGAGGAGGGTGTGTGGTGGGCGTTGGGTTACGTGACCCTCTTGCTGCTCAAACCGGAGTGTGTGACTTGTGCTAAAGTTTTGACAATTCGGAAAAAGTTGCAATTACTTGACCGGTGTCTGACCCTGCAGGGGCTGAAACTATCAGAATGCATCAGTGAGGAGGGGTGTTAATTCGCTCAGGTCGAACAAAAAGGGGAGGGACAGTGTTCTAATAATTCCTATTGTTGAGCAGCAGCCAGAGACACAGACTTTTCCCAGGATGATTTACGGTGGCGGGAAGCAGATAAAAGAAGACACAGGATAACTGGTGAGGAACCTGCGGGGAGGCTCGACTCTTATGTCACAAAGCCTCATAATGACCAAATATCTGGACAATTTCAAGCCAATACCTCAATCCACAGCCTCTTCAGTTCGCCCCTGAGTCGACTCAACCCCTTATTTCGCTCCACCAAATATTAAAGCTTTTGGACTCAGATCCAGGTTTAGCTACCATGATGGCTTGGGCCTGAATCCAGGGGCCTCAGCTGACAGCGGGAACGGCTAATTTAATAATGTAGGCCTGTCTGCCACAATCTCTGATAAGCTGCTGCTCTTTGCTGAGGGGTCAGCTCCCTGACGTAAATCTCCCCGGCCCTGAACACAACCCCACGCTGGGCCAGGGGCCCGGGAACGTCACAGGGCAGCGGGGAGCAGACTGCATTGTAGAAGGGACTCGAGGTGGCTCCCGCCCTAGCACTGATGTTACTGGAGGAATCCGGGCATCAACAAAGCCAAGACTTCATTATAGTTGCTGTCTACCCACAACAACAATGAAGAAGTAATGAATGAATGTTATAAAAAATGATTGAAAATGATAAAATAAACAAAAACACCATCAGAAAGCCAAACATGCTGGAAAAACTGTTGTGACAGGCAAACAACTACCATGATTTAGGCAGCTAGCAGCTAGCAGCTAGCAGCTAGCATACTATGTGTTTTTAGCCCCCAAAACAAGTAACACATTGAGTGGAGCTGAGGTGGAGCTCAGAGTATTTCGCTGTGACTTCTTTCACATTCAAGTAGTCATGTGATCCATTATCAATACAAAAATATCGATTATGGATGCTTTAAAAAAACAAACAAAAGAAAACAAAAAACAATACACAAAGCACAAAGGGTAACAAGGCTTTAGATGATAAAAACTGGTTGGAAAAGTTTGAAAACAACAATACATTTCACATAAAATCATGTTTTTTTTTCAAACTTTATTTCTACAGAAAACACACAACAAGAAATAATAACATAACGTAATAAAAAATAAAAGCAAACACACACATGCCTATAATGTAATTTCAGGGGTTGATTTTGAATGAAAGTCACCTATTTTATAAAATGCCCTCATTGTTGGTAGGGGATTGCTCGCAAGACGCCAGACTAATTACTTTAAAGACCATTTGAGGCAGAAAATTCAATTCAATTTTTATGAAAGCGTAATTATCTGTACTCACTCTTGATGCCGTCCAGGTCAGCGGAGGCCAGTGTCTGAGCCTCACTCTCATCAGTGGGGATACGCTGGTACTTTGCCTGCTCGGCACCAGTCATGTTGCCCGTACGCCGGCGCTCCTGCAGGTCGTAGCCGCGGCTGGCGGATGACACCCGGGCCAGTGGTATGTGTTCAGGTGGCCCTGACTGGGGAGAGGGGCTGGAAGTGTCGGATGAGACTGGCTTACTGGATAAAAGCAGAGAAACAACACAAAGCTGTGGCTCAGAATTTGTTTTGATGTTATTTTTCTTAAGGTGAATAACCTATTTTCCACAAAAATGTCAAGTTAGAAATAATACAGACCAAAGATGACTTCTCACAAAGTACTGCATGCCTTAAAAGCATAAACACAACCTTTACTGCTCTTCTTTGTAGTTAATTTATTTCTTTCCCTAACACATAATCACTTGAATGTTGCAGGAATCGTACCTCTGCACTTCAGTATTAGACCCTTCAACTGGTGCTCCTACGATACACTTGCATCTCGCAGGTCAAACATGCATCTTTTACAATTTAAATACTCAACAAAATGTAAAAAGTAGACAGACAAATACTTCAAAGTACTTTTAAAATAAACATAATGAACTCACCGTCCTTCCAGTATCAGTTTTCCAAACTTTTTCTTTAAAGTTTTTTCCAAAAAACAACTTTTTTTCCCCTCAACTTTCCTCCTCTTTTATCAGGATGTTCTCAAGATACAAATCCTCTGTTACTGCGTTGCCCTGCAATAGACTGAAATTGAGCAAAGTGCGTAAAAGCAGCTTTACACCAGCTCTGATTAAACCCTCATGAAATGGAAAAGTAAATGTCATAGGTGGAGCCTGGGGCAGCTGAGGTGTGTTGTGTCGTCTAGAGCGAGAGGTGATATATGGGTCTCTGAGGAGAGGATTACTGGTCCATCAGATCAGGCCCAGCAGGCCCACTGGATGCCTGAGACATGGTAACGTACAGTGTGTACCTCGCTGCCCAATAAGACATGCGCCTGAGTGGTCTAACCCAATCAGAGCAGCTGTAAGAACATTTCAGCGACATGGCAAAAACACGCATTATGCAATCACTGCGGCGTGATTATAAACCTAGCAGTCTTTAATTTTCTGTTCTTTGTTTATTTATTTATTCCAAGAACTCAGCCCGACTCACTCTGTGGAAGTTCCATCTTCAGTATCCGCTGCTTCACCACACTGCGGCACAATATCGAGCTCTCGGGCTGAGCGAGGGCTCTCTTTGTCACGACTGGCCACATGGTCGTCATCCGAAACGAAGAACTATGGAGGGAACACAGAGTGTGAGAGCGCTGCTTACAGTAAGAACAGACAATGAAGCCAAAATTCAAACCAAGAATGTCCGGTATCAGATTCAAACAGTGGGCAAACTAATCTATAACAGCCCTGTGAACAGTGAAGTATGATGTGTTGTTTTCTAATGAAGAATAAGCCTGACATCTTTCCCAGAAAATGGGAGAAACAGATCACCTTCAAGAGGAGGGACTCATGTCTGGATGTGGATAAATCTACGGACAACATAGAGACAATAGACCGAGAAATGTATACCCTACTTGGGACAGTGGAACAGAAGATGAAGCAAAATTATATTTGAAAATATGCGAGAGCAGTTGGATGGAAGCAGAGTTGTGTACAGTGTAGTGACAGTCTGATCAGGTTAAATTTGGTCCCGTTTTGTGGAGCATCGTAATAACAGCCAAACATTAAACCCACTGATGAATGATTAAGACTACACTGAAATATTCATAGGAGGAAAATATGGTAATGCTATAACAGTGAGCGACCGGGTCGGGTATCAGAGCACGGACTGTGGCCATTTGTATCGCAGCACATTCCTGAACGCTCATTCACCCACGTCTCAATGCAAATCAAAAGAGCAAAACAGCCGCCTTGACCCTCTTTAGTAACAGGCTCCCTCATTTTCACTGGACAATATGAGGATACATAAAACCAAGACATAAACGCAAGCAACTGTAGATTATCATTTATCAAGCAAGATGTGAGGATTTGCAGCTTTTCTTGTTTTACACATTTTATAGTTAAGTTGTTTTTTTTTTTTTAAGGTTTTCGATTGTTGGTCGGACAAAAGAAAAACTTGAATTGACGACTGAAAAGGAAAAAAAAAAAACTATTTGAAGATGTTTATTTTAGGCTCTCAGAAATGTTTCACTATTTTCTGCTGGTTAACTGATAATCAACAAAATTGTTAATATATTAGAATATTTTTATATTGCAATACAGTGTCAAAAGTCTAAAAACAGTCCGATTCACTGTAAGACTAACATGAAGTCAAATGATTACCTCCACATCTTTGGCTCTCTCTGAGTCAGATGGAGCAGAAGTTGTCTCCGTCCCTTCCTCTTCCTCTTCATCCTCTCCTTCCTCTATGGGGCCGCTGTTGGGAACGTGGCTGCTTTTGTGATCTTTGTCCTTCTTCCTTTTCTTGCCGCTCTTCTTCCTGCGTCCCTCGGGGGGCAGTTTGGACAGAGGTCGGTGGATGTGGTGAGAGGAGTGGCGGTGGTCTGCGGAGATGATAAGAGCACAGCACGAAGATTAGCTGCTGCCATGTTAACATTTAGAGATCTTTGTTTTTAATTTGACACATGTTCTTATGGATGGATGCTGAAAACAACAACAACAACTGTGAAGCCTCTGTGAGCTTACATTCAATGTCCTCCTCATGGTAGTTGTGGTGCTGCTCGTCGGGTACGACAGCAGCAGGGCTGAGGATCTGCTGAAAGCGCTGGACGCCCAGAGCTTTGTTCAGGTCCCCATCATCCTCTTCTTCTGAGCGCCCGTGTACTGATGAGGCGCCAGGGGCCTCTGGCTGCAACACAAACAACAACAGAACAAATCAATTAATAATAAGACAAAAATAAAACAATACAAATCCACTAACTGATCAGGAATACTGAGCTTCAAAGTGTTCAATAAACAGGACATTATGAAACTAATAACAATATGGATAAATGCAGAAAAAGACATAATATAATCATAAACTTGTCCGATTGTTTTTTCAAGCTCAGTATTATAAAAGGATATTTTATCTTGCTTCTTTTCACAGTTGCAGTTTATTGCAGGTATTTTTTTTTCTTCCTTTCAATACGTTTTATTTGAAATATTCTTTTTCCAAATTTATGGACCTGGGAAACAGAGTGTTGTGTTGCCTTTCACTCAAACCAACACTAGAGGGCATTGTGGTGCTGTGAATACACCACAGTCAGGGCATCATATGACAGGTCGTCTCATGCATGCCTTCTTGAAAATAAGCTTTAAATTGGAAACAACAGCCATGTGCTTTGATCAGTTACTCATTTTCCATGCTGTGGTGTGACAGGGATCATGTGGGTGATAAGAGATCTGTTTTCTTGCAGCAGGACGCGGTGCCCTGCTGCGCCCGGCTCTGCCGGTGGGATGTTGTGATAAGGATTGTCTGGAGCGATACAGCAAGTGGATCTACTCTGGCTAACAGGATTGTGCTGTAGCCATCTCACAGGCTGAGTAAATGTTGCTATGGCTACTGCGCAGGTGACTCACATCCTGCAGCGAACCCTTCCTGTGGCAAAACTCAGGGGCCATAAGTCACTTGATTCTCCCTCAGGTGGTTCTCAGCACACCCAACGTATCAGTCATATATTAAGTTTTCGTCAGTGCTGCAGGAAGCCACAGGAAGCAGGTGATGAAACATAATCACTCTTCTCTCACATGCAACTCCTGCTTAGTCTTGTGTCAAACTCACACCTCAGTTTACGCACAGCAGACCACACACAAATATACTATAATGTATGACAATAATATATAATGTATAATTGCAGTGGGAGAAAGTTCTTGATACATATACTCAAGTACTGTACTGATGCTTTGCTCAAGTATTTCCATTTTACAGTATGAAACTATATAGTTTTATTCCACATTTCACAGGGTAAATGTTTAATTACCCCATGTGACTGCTGTAGTTACTAGTTTCTTTTCATTTTAATGTTAATTTTACATTAAGACACATAACAAGCCAATAAAATCCAACACATTGTCGATGATTAAATCTTTTTGGCTTGTGAGCCATTATAAAAAAAAGCAGTGTCTAGATGGAGCACCATGATTCAGAGATTTCTCCTCTAAACCTCAGATAGCTTCATTTAAACAGCTGTTTGTGACCCAAAAAGGTAAACTTATCCAATGTTTCACCAAAAAGCAAAGATTAGAGAATCTCAGAAAGAAGTGGTGTAGCAGGACTTTGTTTTTCCTTCTTTCCTCTCACCCATTAATCATCTTACAACCCCTAAGTGTTTGCTTGGGGCACGACCCCCAAGCAAACACTAGACTAAACTAGCCAGCTGTATATAATGTAGTTAAACGTAGATCCATCACAACCAAGAAGATCTCAAGAAGCTTAAAAAAAACTCAAATAAACTCTTTCCACCAACTTAAATCGACACGTCACATAAAGAACAAAAACTACATTAATATCTGATGGAAACCACCCCTGCATCTGGGTCACGCACAAAAGGTCCTGCATGTTCCACTTTTAACACATTAAGCTCATCAAATCCATGAAGACAGGAAAACATGAGCTGGAAAGTCAAGAGTTCATCCTGGATTCATGATACTTAACGCTCAACAGATGGTCATGAATGAGGGCTCGTCCAAACAAAGTGTGAAAAACTGATTCCCATGACCCACACAACCATGCAGTCTGTTACCCTGACCTGCTTTTACATGCCACACACAGGTGACAGGAGCAGACACCCCTGCGCTGGGCCGCAGAGCAACACACAGATCAGCCTGTTCGGCGCGCATTCAATATTGACCCAAGACTCAATTCCTCATATAGTTTTTTATTTTTTGGCTGAACAACAAGAGAGTCAAAAAGAACAAAGTCTACATTTACCTCAGTGACCTCCAGAACAAAACCCCAAAGTCATTGAAGCACTTCATATCACAGGTGACACTGACACTTAAAGCAGAAGAGGAGATTTCTTTGAATGCTGCTCTTTTAAATAAAGTATCTTTTAAACTCCAGACTTTGAGTTAAATCCAAAAAACTAAAAAGACAACCTTTTCATTTCTGTAATTATGCATTACCCTGCATCTACATCACTATCTCAAAACTGCACGTACTCTCACCAGATGACCGAAACGGAGTGCTGCTACACAATCCAGCAGTTTATTTTTACAGAGCTCTCATTCATATCATGGTTTCACAGTGAATCCCTAGAGGTGGGAGCGATGTGTGAGGGATTCTCAAGGAGGTGAGAGAATTTTCCACAACCGAAACCATGTGCAAAAACAAGCCGGGTGAAAGCAACACAGCTGACCAGACAGTGAATAATATGAGTAATATTTTTTGACTCCAGCAAGGAGTGTCGGAGACTTACCTCGCTCATGGCAACGTGAGCTTAATCGCAGTCAGTGGTTTTTGGTGGCAACAAGCGTCAGAGCCCTCCACCATGACAACACTGGAGCTCCGACCCTCGACACTTCTATTAAGAACTGCAGGCATAGAGATATCCCTCTCACCCCCGCTTATCAAAGCCTCGTGATACCTTAATCAGAGCCCTATCGGCCAACCTGCCACCTTCACCAGTCTGCTCATTGTGCCAGGGCAGAATAAACAAGACTGTCATTCCCGCTTTGAGGACAAATGCCGCCTGAAAGGACAAGCCCTGTTTGAACAGCCAGGAACAAAACCTCACATTGACATTCATCTCCACATTTTAACTTTGCCACATGAAGCCTAAATATTGACCGAGGTGCTTTTAGTCAATGCGCCTTGAAGGGCAATGTAAATGCAAAGGAACTAAACAACTTTTTCAAAAGATGCAGTTTTCGTGGCTAATATTGACCAAAGACATATTAAGTGACAGGCCGGGGTGAAATGTCAGTAAAAAATGTTGTGTGCCCCATTCAAAACCACAGACAACTAATACCTACATGACAAATGACTGAAAGAAAATATTTGAGATTGATGAATTGACTGGTGAACAAAAACGCAAAAATCAAAACAAATCAGCTCTGTGTGGAAGTTTTTATAAAAAGATTTCAAAGTCTTCCATTAGATAAATTCAGTCTGTAGTGAATTACTGCAGGCATGTTGGTAGCTTTCCAACAGAGCAGAGCCTTCTCATAATAACTGAGAACAGTGGCACTAATCCACTAATGGCAATCAATACACTCCCAATAACACATCAGAATTTGAATTTTTGCTCACTTACGGGAATTAGTGGGACAGGAAGCCATCATATATGCAATATATACAAAAGATTTTTTTAAATAAACAACAACAAAAAAAAAAAAATGACGTTGATGATTTAAAAAAGTAATGTACAGGTATTTCTCATTTGCTTCTATGTATTAAGATTAATGCCAAATAAGAAATCCCAGTGAACAAGACTAAGAGTCTGTAGTCAGTCCTCTGGAGACCATGAATGCCATAAGCAATCTATCCAGTAGTTGAAATATTTCAGTCTGGACCAACGAAATACTGGAGAAAAATAAAGATAATGTAACGTTCTTCCTTTCTACCTTAACTTTATTTAAACAGCTGCTAAATGAGAATGATAAACAGAGAATGAGGAAATCTTGTGAAGCAACATAGTTCATACAGTGTTAAAAAAGTAGTGTGCGTGTGCAGTGGCTGTCTTGTGTCATGGGGCGGACACTCGACAGCGTTTGTAGGCTGCAGAGGAGATTATCTGTGTCGTGAGGTAGGCTCAAATCTCACACAGTCAGCATTGGAGGGGAAAGGGTGAGATAGGCTGGGAATGCTGTAGTGATCATGTCGTACTGCGTGGCTGATGAGTCACTGCATTCCTGCATATCTTAATACGAGTCTGCAAGGAGATCCGAGCGCACAATATGCTCCGGATTTCTGATTATGATTATAAGCAAGGGAGTTGTAACCTAGTTCTGTCCTCAGCCAACTGTGCATTTTGGATTATGCAAGCGGTGATTTTCCCAACCTTCCTATTACATCATAATTTAAAAGGCATGTTTTCCTCCCTTTGATCAGCTAAAAAGAAAAGAAAATAAAATATAAATCTACACGTCAATTCAAATCGACAGATCCTCCATTCAGTCTGAGACAGGAAAAACATGTCTCCAATTGAATGTTTTTATTCCCCTTTGATTATATATGTATTGGAAATTGCGCTTCATGCTTTATCATTTCATGTTATGCAAACAGGGTTTTCAGTAGCCAGACAAGAGCTGATCATTTGCCTGAGATCTCTTCTTAGTTTTATCTAAGCTGAGAACGTCCAACTGATAATATCTGAGTTTATTGAGTAAGAGGTTTGTGCAGAGATGGCCAGATGCACGTCACAGGATGTATATGAGGTTAGAAAACTACACGTAATAGGAACAAGGTGGTGTAAACTGTATTGTACTGATCCTGCTATCTCAGGTCTGACCGCAACATAATGGGTGCATGACATGATCAGAACACAATGCCCCCCCCCCCCCAAAAAAAAATAGGTTGCAATAAAAATATAAGAGGTAACAAGAGGATTAGCCGTGAAAGCAGAATCAAAAACATATTGTGATAGTTTCACACTTTCAGGCCTCAAAATTCAAAACAATCCGAATAAAGAAAATGACTTAGATTGAACTGCAAGACATTAAAACCTGTGAAGAGGAGTGAGCTGTAGACATGGTCTTGTTTTAAAGAAATAGGTCAACATTTTGGTAAATGTTCTTGTTCACTTCCTTGATGAGAGTTAGATGAAAAGAATCATATCACTCTCTTATCTGTACACTATATATGAAACTACTGTCAGCAGCTGGTTAGCTTAGCTTAGCATAAAGACTGAACAGAGGGGGATCCAGCTTATCAAGCTCTATCCAAAGGTAAAACCCACCTACAAATATCCCTTCCGCTCACTAATTAACATGTTAAGTCTAGTTTGTTCAATCGGTGCAACAACTGAATGTTTGTTAAGATTATCTTGATGTTTTTACCGGTTGATTAAAGAGGGAAAAAATGGCTGCCACAAGTTCAAGTGTTCAATGCTCCCCTGCCCAAAAAGCTTTCGTAATCCATCTGTTGACATTAGGGGGGTGACTAACTGTAACTAGTGACACATTAAGATAACATTAGGTTGTAATTATTACCTTGGACTTCTAATACCAGGGAACAGTCTTTGAACTGCTGACGAAGTAGAAGTTCATCTCAGAAATTCAAGAACTAGACTGAACATTAACCAGCTAGAGTTCCTGTTGAGGTTAAAGATAAGTCAGGCTACATATAGGCTTAGAAAATCTCTATTTGAACTATTTCGGATTATGCGTAATGACTGACTGGGGTTGACAAGAGCAAGACTGAACGTCACGCACACTAACGGACACCAAACCATGCTTTAGACTCACGTTACGTTGAGTCCTCAACGCTCAAAGTAAACACACTCACCTTAAATGCATACAGATAGTCCATCAAATTACACACTGGAGTACTGCTGCAGCTTAAATACAGCAAGATAGCTATCCTGTATTTGCTTTTCCACAGTTAAAAGTAAAAGCAAAACACGCTGGCCACTTTTATGGAACCCGTTTCCCTGTTTCAGTTAGCGCCTGTCACATGACCAGGGCAGATCTCCAGGGTAGGAAGAAGACATCACTCAGTTTCACAATGTTAGCCCTTAAAAATCCACATAGGATTAGCTGAACTCTCCCTGACCACGCACACACACAAAACACACATTGTTTGGGGGAGATAATAATTAACTTGGTCGAGTTGGAGGCAAAAGAGCAGCCAATAACTGCTGAGGCACTGTCATACAGCAAACATTTTTATCTTTACTGAGCTTCTTGATCTCCAGGCTACCTGCTGCTGACAACAAAGTCATATTCTAGTCCGCTGTATCTCAGTGAACTGTCTGGTCATAATTTGCGATAAAGACATGCAGGTTCTGAACAGGCTTGACAGAAAGTAGCTAACACTATTTTTTATCTTGTTTAAAGACGATGTTTTCTGCACATTTACAACTGGACACTGAATCAGATACATTTGTTGCTTTAGCTACAAATTCTGGCCAATTTAGATGTTATATTAATGGCATTTTGCATTTAATTCAAGTTATTTTTTTATGGTTGTTTAGGCAAGAAAGATGTAAACCTTTCTTGATATTTTATTTTCTCATGGCTGTAAAGAAAATTAGTTCACAATCTTCATATAACAAGCGTGTTTTTGTTGTGATCACAAAGTAATTAGTGAGTAATTCAACATGTGATGGCATGATAAATGTGAATCACTAAACATTGTGTCATGACATCACACTATCACAGATTTTAATTTCTAAAACTGTTATTTTACTTTCCAGACTAGATGAGTCAGTACATGGGAGAGAGAAACGCGGTGGGTTGTTATTGCTGTTGAGGTGTTTCCCTCACGTATTATCTCTTTCTGCCTTTTAATTTTGAGAAATGTAACAAGAGGCTGTATTTTGTATTTCAAAAAGGAGAAAACTAACAATTAGAAATATCTAAATCCGTGGTCTTTCTGCCTTCCTGCACATCTTTCATGGATGAGTAGTTATGTGTCATGGATCCACTTCCACCTCCTAAATACTCTGCATTCTCTGCTGGGATTAGATTTCAAACTTGGACAGCACTTATGTTGTTTATGTCCAGCGAGGAAGCCCCTTCCAGATTCCATGCAGGTACTGTATGTGCGGGACTCGTCGTTGTGCTCGCACAGTTGTGCAACATTTGAAAAGGAAGCAGCTGACTGAATGCAAAGCTAAGGGAAAGCAGCCATTTTTCTAGAACAGAACAACACTGGTGCGGCCAGCTAAACACCAGGAACAGGACTATTTGAATAAGACTATGAACCTTCACTTTACCTCTCTACAGTACAATAAAAGATGAACCTCATGAGAGGTCATAACCACTGTCACTTGTTTCTGAGAGGAAAATCTCTTTTATTTTGCTCCTGCTGTGGTATGAACATCAATATTTCCACACACCTACACATTCAGCCCACAGCACTGTGAACTATCATCAACATGGATTGTTGTTTCCTAGGTTTCTGTGAAACCTAGGAAACCCTTAACTCAAGTAACAGAACATGATAAAGGATGAGATGGTGGGTAAATCAGTAAAAAAAAAAGACAATACTTGTAATTCCTGGGATAAAATCAAGCATAATAATATCTGGGATTTAGTACCTGATGAAATCTAACAATATGAAACTATTCGTGTTTGGATTTTTCCTTTAAGCTTGCGATATTTTCTGCCTCAGCATCTTAACGATTCTGAGATGAACTTGTTCAGAAGCTCTTGAGTCGAGGAATGCTGTTTTCTTTGGCTGCTGTCCAGCTGCCCTCGCAGCTTTGCCAGTCCTGTTTATCACATCAATCCCACCAGCAGCCATGCAATTATAGTTTTTATAATCATGTGCCAGTATTATTTTGGTATTTCAAACACTAGCAACCCATTGCAAAAATAAATCATAAAGAATAAAAGGACAGAGGAATGAAACTGTTTTAGTTGTGGAACCGGTAACATTCTCCAGTGCCCTAATGAAAAGGGGATTATGAACAGGAGCAGCTTTCTGAGTAGATCTCAAGTGTGTTTGAGCTATTCTGAACATTTTTATTTTTGCACTCAGAAGTACACAGACAGGGAATTGGCTCCAAGATGTGACTAGATTTGTACACACATAGCTCTGGAGGGAATGGCACATCCAAAATACACACTCCAATGCCAGAGAGGAGCGAGAGAGCTGATGCAGCATAAATGTGGGCGAATGTGAACTCAAGTAAGTGAAAGTTTAGAGCAGAATAGCAACAGTCTCATACATGAGAAGAACATAATCTGTTTATTGTGAGTGTCATCTCCTCCTGAACAGCATCTAACCTGGTTCCAGGGTCACCAACTCTGCATCATGTGTTTTAACATGCCAACGACGCCGGGGCCTGACCTTAGTGTACAGGCTGAGGCCTCTCTGTGTGCGGCCGTGTGGACTTACACTGTGAATAACCGCTGCCACGGCATCTGTAATCTGGTTGGGAGCGCTGGGGTTGCTCATGGCTCCGTAGTGGAGTCGCTGCTGGAGAGGATCTGGAAAGCTGGTTTAGATCAGTGCGGCTTTAGCCCTTCTCTTTCTCACTGGGACTCAGACAGCTTTTGGGCAGCATAACCTGGAGACAGACACAGATCCAGGAGTTAGTTCACATGAAACTGGAGATTTATAACTTGAGGCAAACAAGAGTGAAATAGCTTTGGGCAAGAAATCTCTGCATATGAAGTGCAGCCAGAAAAGTAAAAGGATGGCGGTATATTCCAGCACATTGGATTTGAAATTAAATAATGTCTGTGAAGGTTAACCACTGATTTTTGGCTTAAAGAATGTCCACATTTTTATTTGGTTAATAATGGACTTGAAATGCTTTTTACACAATGTCCCTCATGACATTACAGCAGGAGTAATATACCATAAACATACAGGTGGGGGGCAATGAATGAGTTTTTACGAACAGACTGTTGTTGACTGTCCTAGCAGGTCACATGACCACAGTTCAGCTGATTGTGTGAAGGTCAGACCGAAGTCAAAAATCTCAGAAACAAGCAAGAAGTGAAGATGGCTGCAGTCCAGGTCTGACAGAGCATCACCTGGATATATACCAAGTGTGCTGTGGATTAGGATTAAATGTGGATAGACTTTGTTTAAAAAACGTTATGTTGCCCATTTACTTTGTGTCCCATAATTATAACAAGACCATGAGTTTTTAGCCGTGCTAGCAGCTCTGTGAGGCTGAATTTAGACACAGCAGTGCCTTGAGCTAAATGCTAACATTCGCTGATTAGCAGCTGAGGTTGATGGGAATGTTATTAGTTTTGCAGGTAATTTGTTGATTCCTTCACAGTTTAATTGACGTGGATATATATCTTACAATTAAAGCCATGAGTCAGCACTTTTGCATTTCAAAGCCAGTGCGCCGAAGTGCAGAGCCAAAAAAACAAACAAACCACGAAGCAATATTCTTTACTGTCCTAACACTGTCTGTACTGTGACATGTGGTCCCACTAAGGAGTAATCAAGTTTCAGGGTTTCCTGGAAGCCTCAAGGACCTCTGAGCCGCCTGGACCCCACTTCAGAAACACTAATAGCTTAAACTGCATATCACAGTTGTGATGCAGTGGAAAAAAACTGGAGACAACTACATTATACTTGAGACATAATGGCAACAATACCAGATGAGATACACACCAACAGCCCTTTATAAACGGTGACATGGTTCATGATTTGAAGCCCTGTAGCACTTCCTCACTTCCATTCAAGGTCATTAACCATTACTCAGATAAGAGCCAGATAACACAGCGCTACTGTGCACAGGACCCTTTGATAAGCGGTGGCACGTGCCTACGCTAACCTCAAACTCCGTTATTCCCGAGTCTCCGTTAAGACATATAACCACAGGAATCCAAACGTAATCCTCATTCAGACTGCCAGAGAAGCTCACACACACAACCATAGGCAGTATAAAGTGTCAGTGAAGATGTACTACAAGAGGACCATAACGCACAGTAGCAATTTGCTGTCCAGGAGTTGGACTATTTTCATAATCAATTAATTGTTTATCATTTTTTTTATTTTTTTAATAAAAAGGGGCTGAAAGTTCAGTGAGTCAGATGCTGGTTTTCTTTTGGTTTTTGACAAAAAAAAGATATCTTAACTTTTATTTTTCATATTTAATACAAATTTCAAATAACTGTCTAATTAATTAATTAATAGTAAAAATAACTGATGGCTGCACAGATCAAGCAGTATTTGCATGAATTAGTATAAGCCTGTAAATTGCTCCAACAAAACCCGTTGATTGCAGTTTTTTTGATCTGTGTCTCAATAGCAACAGAACAACAGTTTTCCTTCGGTCTAAAAGCAGAGGACGGCCCTCTTTTGCTTCACTTTTCAGAGTCACGGTAAGAAATCAAGCTCTGCCAAAGGCTCTCTGGCTTTCTGACAGCAGCTATCAAAGAAGCGATAAGCCTCCGTGATGCCTGAGCACAATCATATCAATGACCTTGTTGACAGCGAGGGTTTTTCTAGGAGGCATGTTTGATTGAAGTGCAATCAAAGACAAGAGATGTAGAGGCATGTAGGAGCTGGACAGAATGAACTTGTATTTGGATAAAGGGACCTAAAACTACACACCATTTCTGCAACACTCTTCTTTGCTCTGCCAAACTGCTCGTCACTGCTCCAGATGTTAATTACATACCATCAGCTGTTCTACTGCCACATAACAACTTTTACTGGTTTGGGACATTGCAATCCCTGCAGTAATGCAGATAAAGGACAATACTGCCGTTAGTTTGAAGGTTGCTTTCTCAGTAAACTTAGACACCACCATTGTGGAAAAGGCAGGGCTGGCTACACAGGGATAAAGTTACAGAACCCTGGGATCCTGGGCGAAAACCATGGGAAACAGCTTATCTACCTCAGGGCATGTCTGTAATAATACCGTTAGGATAACAATAAAGATCAGATGAAGAAAACAACAATAGCAACTGCAATTGGATTAGTAGGAAAATAGATTTCAAACCACTGTCCACAAAAATGATTGTAGTGTTTTGTCTGCAGTCAGGTACAATCAGGCTGTCAGAGGACTGAGTAAAGAGGAACTGACTGTTCTTGTGTAATGCCCAAAAGGACATGGATGAGTGCTGACAGTGCAAGAGGAAGTGAGGACAAGATGCTCTGTATTTATCCTGGAAGAAGTTCATCAAGTCTTTCCAGAGTCATCCAAGGGTCCAGCGCCTCGCAAGCAGTTCCTACAAGAAGACGAGTGGAAGTGGGGAATTTATTTTCCCAGACTTCAAAACTTTTCCGTACTCGATTTAACCACGGCCTCAAATGCGCACACAAGGCTTTAGGAAAACTATCCTTCTGGGAGGAAGTAAGTATGAAAACAGGAAGAAGTAACAACTACAGACTGATGCTGATCAGGAGGAGCTATAAACCTATATTAAAAAAAAAAAGAAATGGAAAGGGAAGTTTCTCTATAGTGTCTATAATGTCAGACCCTTGAAAGGGTTAACTATGGAAAACTATGCCTATGCATGGACCTGGACCTATGTTCCAGAGCTAATGTGGGTTAATCCAAAATCTATTATTAACCTATGATGTCTACCCTGTGACATTATAGGTTAACTCAACTTGTCACAGCATAACGAGATGCCATCTTCATCTGTGCACCCTACAGACAGAGAAGACACAAAGAACACAGTGTACAGTCATGTCAAGTGTGTGAAGACGGCACCATCTACCAAAGAAACTGTCACCCACAGCAAGTAAATACCAACTACAGCTACTATTTTGGTTTAAATTACAAATGACATCTAGCATTTAACCTACAAATGTACCAGTCACACATCTTATCATATATATATATATATATATGTGTAAGAAAAAATATCAACCATCTTAAAGTATGAAATGAGGAGACACTGTTCATAGGTCAAAATTCATCATATTTGACGGACTTGACAGCAGACAGTGTGTAACCTGCTGTTTATGGTCTCTGAAGTAACATTGCAGTGATTCTGAGGAACTAACATCCCCTCGCTGGCATCTACAGGCTGTTCGTATTAAGTCTAAGTAAACCTACTTAGATGGCAATAAATCTGAATGTCACCAAACTGTTGACATTCGTGTCATATCTTTGGAGGTAATAGATTAGAGCAGGGAGTTGGCTTTTATTTTTTGTCATTAATGAGATCTGATACGCACTAGGTGCTGACTCATCTGTCCCACAGAGAAAAATATACCTGACAAAGACTCTTTGGTATGTTGTTAATTTCCAGTATTGATAAAAATGCCCTGGTTACTTCCTGAGAAAGGGGAAATTCCTCCTTTTATTGAGCATGTAAGGCACATTATAGGAAGGGGAAAAGGAGGACAGAAACTGGCCTGGCATTTTCATCAGTGCCTGTTTTTCACAGTTTGAGAATAGCTCCGCATTAGGACCCTTTAGATGTTATGAGTAAGCACAAAATCCCTTCTGAACATATTAAAAATGGCAAAGTATGGCAGAAACTGCCAGGGTTTCAACCTGGGGCAAGACGTGTGTGTCAGAAACGTTCATTTTTTTCTTAGTCATCTTTTCCGTCATCTCATGTGACCTTTTGGATTAAAGATAGACAGACGGTTGAAATTCCTCCTCATAATGACATTAAGGGAAACGAGTGAGACAGCCAGATGACTGGACAGAGGTTACAAGCCAGACTCGAACTCACGACAGAAGCCTACATGTGTCTAAAACCAGCGACCTGCCAGGACGCCCCGGCCGGGCCCGGCTTCAGTCGGCAGCTTGGCACGTGAGTGTCTACCACAGACTGCACGCTCATCGACAAATTCTATCAAAAAGGCATAATTAAAGAACAGTTCAATAAAAAATACAAACTGACAATAAAAATGCCTGTCCAGAAATAGAAGCGTGATCACAATGTCCAAACCTCAACCAGCAGACTGGCCTGTACTTGTAAAAGCAGGACAATGACAGAGAGGGAAGGAGCAGTTTAAGGTTTCATTAGAGAACTTGGTTTAAAACAAAACCAGTGAGGGATTCATTTGCTTCCGTTTAGCCGACAATGCATTTTTTAAAAAGAGACAGAACTGATTGTGTAATTGCGATAGTCCCAAGTGACGTGGAGATAATTTGTGGCCTTTTTATCTAATACAATAACACACTGTAACAGTCCGAACACTGTTTCACAGAATTAACACTGTCATCTCCTATTGAAGACACATGCAAGAGCTGAAAGTAAATAAGGTCTGTGTGCTATAAATGGTCAATCCTGACTCAACCACAGCATTTAGGCAGTCATGGCCTTTAAAGGCTCCAACTTGGGGTTTATAACAGTGGAAAAGCATGTTTGTCCTACCAGAACTCATGTGTTTGAAAGGTTGTTCTGCTGTGTAACATGTGGAGCTGAGCGGGATTTGTTTACAGCTGTCCATAGCTACAGATCATGATGATCCTCTGGCTACAGATCATCATGTGTGACACTAACAGGAACAATCTTGTTAAGTTTGATTAGACCTGACCTGGCAAACAACGGCCGTGGCTCACCTAATTAAGGACTAACCCACATAAACAATGAATTAAATAGACAATTAATTCAACAGAAAAAACAACAAGCAGTACAAAGTGATAAATAAGACAATTTGAAAACATGACAACTGGTCAAGAAATAAAAAAAGAGGTGCAGTACCATACCTTCGTGTGCTTACTGCAGAGAAGCCACCGCAGACATTGTAGTGCAATTCTGAACTCTGCTGGGAAGAGTGACCCGGGGCTGGTCAGAGTGCAGGACAAAAACAAACAGAGGGAGAAAAGAGAGAGATAGGGAGACAAAAGAAACAAGAGTTAGAGATGTGGAGCCTTCGTGCCGACCGATCATGTGCTGTCCAGCCTCTCGCAGAGCTGAGCGCTCTCTCAGACCAACATGCACCAACTGATAACAGCAGCCTTCCTCCTCAGGATTATGTTTCCTCCTCCAGTCTGCTGACAAGTAGCCATGTGACTCCAGGACCCATTCAACACTGACTCAGAGGCTGCTGCTCAGACACACAAATCTACGAGTCTGTCTCACACTCACACACATACTCACAAATGACCTCAAGCTTAAGGTGGAAATTCAACCCCAAAATCAATATCTGTCTCGAACAGACCAGCACAGTGGCCTTGCATGTCTAAGACCAGTGGTCCTCAACTTTTTTGGCTTTTGACCACCTTTTAAGAAATCAGTGTCGCCCCACTCCGCATCACTTTTCTACCAGTTGTGACCGGTGATTTTTCTCACTTTATTTTAATGATTATCCACAACTATGCACAAAAACGCAAGGATTAGAGCAAAGTTAGAAAAAAGATTTTGTGTAGGAATATTTTTTCTGCTTTCCTCCTCAGTGAATCACATAATCATAACAACAAGTTAGATTTATCATGCGACCCCCTGTAGGGGTCCCGGCAAATCCAGTTATTTAGTTATCCCGCTTGCTACAAGACTATGAATCTTACACGCTAGTGGCTGCGTGACATGTTCTCACAGTGATAACTTAAACATGCTGATATTCAGAAGGAATGTTTACCATGTTCACCATCTTAGTGAAGCATGTTACCATGCTAACATCTGCTAACTAGCACAAAACACAACGAACAACTGAGGCTGATGGGAGTGTCATTTGTTTTGCAGGTATTTGGTCACAGACAAAAGTGTTGGACAAATTAAGATTTTGACCTGATGATGGGGCTAGAGGAAAAATTAAAGGACAATTATTAAAATTCATGTTCATGGCAATCCATCAAACTGACATTGAGACGTCATTTAAAACCACAGATCTGAGCCTCATGATCATTAGAATTCATCATCTGGGGACCATGAATGTCTGCACCTCGCCTTGACCAAAGTGGTGGACTGACCGGTCTGACAGCCAACACACTGGCATTGCCCCCCCCACACTGCTGTCATGGTTAAACACACATTCAAAAACAGGTGCTTTAGAAATTGGCTGGCAGTGATAATGCACCTAAACATGCAAAAATGTTGTAAGGTCCTTTAATCACATGAGGATTACACACCCTGTTTCCCATGTGGAAATACTGCATCTATTCTGAAAAGGTCTATTACAACCTGCAGCAGTGATGTAAATTCCTGTTGTGACACAGACCATGGGCGACCATCTGGTAAAGAGAAGGATTTTAACATTAAACAGTCAAGGGCAACATGAAAGAGAGAGTGTCACAAAACACTGGTTTACCACCACACGCAAGCAAATGAATGACATCTCTCATTTCAGATAATGCAGCCTGCAGGACAGGGCAGTGAGTCATTATAAACTTGCTTTTTTTAGAACACTGAGCAACTTAACCTCTCATGAAGGGCACTGCAACTCCGCCAGGATACCTCTGAGCATCTTTAATATGATGGATAAGTAATCGATATTCTGAAATAAGCAACGGCAGTGGTTACTGGGGGCGCATACATCTCAAAATACATCAACATTTGGATCTGCGTGTTTTTTGGATATGTTTATACATCTGCACAGGATGTTTATTCATTTATTAATAAGTCTGCTCTGTTAATGAAATGAGCAGGAAAGCAATAGCATGTTGCCCAATGTCTTTAATTATTAACTTGTAATGACTTTTGAAATATTTGTGGATGCTGAAACGCCCACACGGCTTCACCAAATACTTCAGGTTTAAACATTTTTGTTGCACTTCACCTGGATTATCTGCTCAGTCTGGTAAAATATCAGTTTTGGGGTAAATTTAGGATAAAATACAAACCGGCATGCCACAGGTTCTTAGTGTATTTGGCAATGGAAAAAAAAACTTGTCATGTCATGGAGGAATCAACGCTATTACACAATTAATCCCACCTAAAGTCATAAAAGCCGCCAGATTAATTGTGTTTTGCAGCGAACAAAGAACAGTCCTGTGATCTAAACAAGTTGCTTACCCGTTCGCCAAATAATCGAGCGCTGCATTCCACATCAGCTTACATGAGCCTTAGGGCTACAAGAAACACCCAACCCCCGGAGGAGCCTGAATTGTGCGTGTATGTGTGTGAGATATAATTGTTTGTCCCCAGGGATGTGGGCTCACTGTGGAGTCACATGCATGTCTTGCGGGGAAAAGAAGCCACAAGCAGCTAAAATTGAAGTCCATGACTTCAAAGTCTTGGGGCTTTCCTCAATCCCAACAGTGTGCTGATAATAGCATTATCCACTGTGGTCAGCTAAAGAGGTGTGACTTCATGTGTGCAACTTTTCCTCAACCATGGTCGACAGATGATACGCTTATTTCACAACACGTAACCTGCACAGAATAGACACACTGTCTTCATTCTTGCTGCTTTGTGATATTTCAAATTAAGTTTTTGAACCAGTTTGAAGGTTTTGGCTCAATTTCTTTGGCTGAATGTGGTGAAATAAAGCAATCTGTACTTCATCCAAACCACCTCGTGTACATTTCAAAACACGTTTCTCTGCTGGAAGAAATAAAAAAAGATAAAAATAACATTTAACAAGATTTTTACACAACAACATCCTGCCTTCACTTTTCTAGCTTTTACCTAAAGTGTTAACACAACTTGGAAATTCTCCCTCCAGCTTCCTGTTATTCTTCTCTCCCTTCTAAAACTAGGCCATATTCGTAGACATAAAGAGAAGCACACTCCAGTGCTGCAAGCCTGGACAAACTTTCCTTCAAAGAGAATAAAATATCACAGGTGACCATAAGGTGCAAAAAACTGTGCAGCCTAACTTCAAACTTCCAAAATCATAAATTGAAACTCACCAGAACCATACCCAATGCTCTCACCCAGTCAAACCTCCTGTGTAGTCTGCCAATGCAAAGACTGACCTCAATGTAGCTGTATACCTCTGACAGCTGTCCTGTTTGTGGATCTCTATGGGGATTTGGCGGTGGTGTATGTTGATAGCTGTGCTTCTGTTGCCTCTGAGTGTTTTAGCCTGAAATAGCTCAGCAGTTTAAAAGTCACCCTGCCACGTTCTGAGCCTTTCAACATGCAGACATCCCTACCTCCCTGCTCTGCTCTTCACAGCCCAGTGGCCACACCAACTTCACTCAGTCCAGCACTTCAGCATGACTGTGCTAAGTTATGTGCACACAGTGACTGGAACAGGTCCAGTCTCACACAGCTAACAGCTGCACTCGCTCAATGTATGGCCATCTTTATCTCACTCTTTGTTCCGTCACAGGCCTCGGGGCAACAGTGGCTGCACTTGGGGCAAAAGACAGCACCTGTCTTTGGGGTGAAGAGGGATTGAAGAGGCAGCTAAATCCTGGCAGCTTATATAATGCCTGCCCATTGTCCTCTCCTCCAAAAAAGAGAAAGCACTCACCAGTCAAGCATTTTTATACCTTGAAGAGGGTTATGGCGAATGGAGTAGAAGTATACAACAACAAGTCTACAATTTTCTGCAGATCTGACAAAGAAGAGTTTATAATAAAAAAAAAAAAATGTATGAAATACATATTCATTTTTATTTAGTACGTTTCATGCAGTGAGGTGTATAGATTTCAAATTCGTGACAAGGAAAACATGTATCAGTATTGCAAGAGGAAAAGGCAGAGCCTCTTTTGGTGCAACCTATTCATTATTCATCTGAGAAATCTCAAACTTCAGTACATCTCTGTGTCTAAATCCACGTGGGTTGTGGCAACAAAAACACTCACTAACACTGAGATTGTGTTCCTGTAATATTTCTATTCCTGTAATTCTAATAAATAGTAACATCTGCAGCGGGATTACAAGACCATGACACATCACACAAAGATATTATACATCTGTCCAAAAGAGACTGAGGAGGCTAAAATAAAAGCAGAATAATAAATAGATAAATAATTGGTCAAGGCTTTTTGTATATCAATAACACAACAGTACAAAGTGGACAGAACAGGAGTTTAGTTACTTGTTTTTAACATCAACTGATTGGACAGTCAGACCCCCTCCCACCCCACCCCCCTCCACCTTCAGCAGTGTTAGGGTGTGGCGCTTCTGCTCAAAACTGCATCCAGGGCAGCTCAGGTTGCACCGGCTGCACAAAAGGTAAAACAATGTTCTCACAGAAATGTGGTAATTGTGAAGCTTAGAGCCGGTGCCCTTGTAATAACTGTATTTACTCTCGTGAGACTCAGACTGGGACAGGAATAAAATATCCCCTGGGCTCCCACAACCCAAACAAAGGACTAAAATCTCATACTACAGTCAAATACAAATCTGCCATTTATCCATTTCCTGGGAAACAACATAATGTGATTACGTTTGTGCTGCAGACGACACAACCTCTGCTAGTAAAGGCTGAGAAAAGGCATGAGAATTTAACCTTATACCCCCATGGGAATGGATGACAACAGTGAAGGTGGTTGTAGGGGGAATATAAAAGATGCCTAGCTACATCTTTTGTTGTGGGATGTATAATTAGATGCTCCAAAGAGACTGCAAACTGTAGACAGCTCAATGAGGTTTAATATGAGAGGACTGTAGCCCAAACTATGCATGTTCCAAGGTGTACTGCCAAAGCGCTTAATGGTAATTAAATGCAACTTAGTAGGCTAGAGCAGAGCAACAGCCAAGCAAGGAATCTGAATTGTAGACAATGATGTGACTCCACAATCTCTAACTAATAATAAACAGGCCTAAAATAATAGTGTTTAGGTTAAGATGGATTTTTCAGGCCGTGTTGTGTTTACAGACAAAATAATGGGTCTGTTTATCAGCAAAAAGGGAAGGTAAAATAAACATGAAGAACCAAGAGGCCATGATAAAAAACGCTTACTATCTACCTCTTTTCCTTCCTTCTCTTCTGCATGACCAAGCAATTCACTACAGGAATGTGGAGACGCTCTGCTCAACTGTTTGCGCTTTGACATTTTTTTTCTCCTCTCTCTAGCAAAACACCCAAC